ATCACGTTCTAAGTCACAAGGCAAGCATCAATAAATTAAAAACATAGAATACAAAGCTTCTTTTCAGACCATAATGCAACAAAATTAGAAATTAATAATAAGAAGGTAAAGGAGAAAAAAAAATCATACGTTTGGAAACTGAACAACACATTGCTTGAACATGAACTACGTACTAGAAGAAATAAAAAGTGACATTAAAAAGTTTCTTGGAACAAATGACAATGAAAACATCACTTACCAAAACCTCTGGAAACGGCTAAAGCAGTAATCAGAGGTCAACTTATAGCAATAAGCAAACATATCAAAAGGCTGGAAAAACTGACCATTGACTCTCTAACCCAACATCTCCAGCAAGTTGAAAAAGAACAGCAAGAAAACATGACACCCTCTAAAAAAACTGAAACTATAAGAATTAGAGCAGAAATAAATGAAATATAAAACTGAAAAACAATTGAAACTATCAACAAAACTAGAAGCTGGTTCTTTGAAAAGGTCGATAAAATCGACAAACCACTAGCTAAACTGACAAAAAAGAAAGAGAAGACACAAACAATGAGAATAGGAGATGAATCAGGCAACGTCACAACAGAACCAACTAAAATAAAAAAGCTAACATTATACTATTATGAAAAACTATACTCAAACAAATATGAAAACCTAGAGGAAATGGACAAATGCTTAGAGATGCACAGCCTACCTAAACTGACACAGACCAAAACTGAACATCTGAACAGACCCATTACAAAAGAAGAAATCCAAAAGGTAATACAACTTCCAACCAAATAAAACCCTGGACCAGATGGTTTTACAAGTGAATTTTATCAAACATTCAGAGAAGAACTGCCACCAATTCTACATAAACTATTTCAGAAAATAGAAAAAGATGGAATTCTCCCAGATTCATGCTATGAAGGAAACATATCTTCAATACCAAAGCCAGGAAAGGATAGCACCGAAATAGAAAACTATAGGCCAATGTCTCTCATAAACACAGATGCAAAAATCCTGAATAAAATACTTGTCAGTAGAATCCAATGATACATCAAAGAAATAATTCAACATGACCAAGTGGGATTCATAACAGGTATGCAAGGATGGTTCAACACAAGGAAAATAATTAATGTAATTCATCACATTAATGAAGCAAAAAACAAGAACCACATGATCCTATCAATAGATGCAGAAAAGGCCTTTGACAAAATCCAACACCTTTTCTGAGTAAAACACTCAACAAAATAGGATTAGAGGGGAATTTCTTCAACAGATTAAAAATTATTTGTGCAAACCCAAGAGCCAACATTGTTCTCAATGGAGAAAGATTAAAGGCATTCCCTTTAAGACTAGGAACTAGGCAAAGATACCCACTGTCACCTCTCTTATTCAATATTGTATTGAAAGTCTTAGCGATAGCAATAAGACAAGAGAAGGGAATAAAAGGTATTCAAATTAACAAAGAGGAGGTAAAATCATCTCTCTATGCTGATGATATGATAGTATACTTAGAAAACCCTGAAGACTCAGCAAGAAAACTATTGGACACAGTGGACCACTTTAGCAAAATGGCAGGATTCAAGAACAACATACAAAAATCAGTTGGATTTCATCACAGTGACAAAGAATAAAGAGCTGGAGCTCAAAAAAACAATACCCTTCACAATAGTTAATCACAAGATAATACTTGGGAGTAAATGTAACCAGAAGCACAAAGGATCTGTTCAAAGAAAATTACAAAACATTACTACAATAAACAAAAAGAGAACTTGAGAAGTGGAAGAATGTCCCTTGCTCATGGATAGGAAGACTTAATATTGTGAAAATGGCAATATGACCAAAGGCAATTTACACATTTAATGCAATCCCAATACAAATACCAATCCCGTTCTTCAAGGAGATGGAAAAAGCAATTTCCAGTTTTATTTGGAATGGAAAGAAGCCCCGAATAAGCAAAGCACTCCGTAAAAATAGAAGAAACATAGGAGGTATCTCCCTTCCTGATTTCAAATCCTATTACACTGCTGTGGTGGTTAAGACAGCATGGTAATGGTACAATGACAGACACATAGATCAATGGAATAGAATTGAGATCCCAGAGATCAGCCCATCTATCTATGGTCAACTGATTTTTGGCAAGGAGATGAAATCTGTTAAGTGGGGAAATGACAGCCTTTTTAACAAATGGTGTTGGCAAAATTGAAAAAGTATCTGCAAAAGACTCAAGCAAGATCCATACCTCACTCCACATACGAAAACCAACTCAAGGTAGATCCTGGACCTAGGATTAAAACCAAGGATTATAAGCTTCATTAAAGAAAAGCTTGGAACAACCCTACAAGTTCTAATCCACAGCATAAACAGTCTTCCAAGTATTCTGAAAAGCCTACAACCAGGAAAAGATAAAAGAGATGAATGGGACCTTCTAAGAATCAAATCCCTCTTCACATCCAAAAACTTCTCAAACAGGGTAAAAAGGGAAGCCACAGACTGGGGAAAAGTATTTGGTAATGACATATCAGACAAGGGACTTATATCAATAATTTATAAATACTTGAGCACCACAACAAGATAAAGGTAAATCATCCAATAGAAAAATGGGCACAGGATGTGAACAGACACTTCACTGAAGACAACATTCAGATGGTTAACAAGAATATGAAGAAATGTTCAAAATCCCTAGCTCTAAAAGAGATGCAAATTAAAACAACTATGAGATATTGCAAAATTTAACAGAACAGCAAGCAACAAATGCTGGTGAGGTTGTGGAGAAACTGGAACCCTTATTCACTGTTGGTGGAAGTGTAAAATGGTGCAAGCACTGTGGAAGGCAGTATGGTGCTTTCTCAAAAAGTTACAAATAGAGATACCACCCATCCCAGCAATTTCACTACTGGGAATATAACCCAAAGAGACTATAACTGACATCCAAGCAGATATTTGCACACCCATGTAGCAAGGAGTTGGAAACAACCTCAGTGCCCATCAACGAATGAATGGATAGAGAAGCTATGGAATATTCACACAATGGAATACTACACTGCATTGAAAAACAAGGAACTCATGCAATATTATTCCAAATGGGTGACTCTGGAGGACATTATGCTGAGTGAAATATCTCAGTTACAAAAGAACAAATACTGCATGGTGCCACTGTTGTAGAATGGGACTGATATCAGGGTCAGGGTAATACTGAAAAAAAAAAACTGGATAAATTA